CTCCCACTGGAGCAGTATTTCTTCAACAGCACCCACAGCAATTCTGAGAGTCCTGTGGAGGCACGTTTCTGCCCCTTCTCAGTTTCAGGGGAGAAAGGGGCAACTATGGACCAGAGTGCTCGGTATAGAATCCTCATTCCCCACCGCAACATGGCACACAACCAGACTGCCATGGTTCCCAGGAGGGTCAGCAAGGACCAAATATGACAGGGAGATGGGGAGCAACACAGAGGAGGAGAAGCAGCCCAAAGGAGAGGAAGGGAGGGAATGGAAGATCTGGTGTTGCCAGTTATTATCTCAGTGATCCTGTGCAAATCCTCCACTGTTCTGAGTCTCAGTTTCCTCATCCATATAATGGCAAAATAAATAATGCCTATTTTATAGTTGAAAAAAGAAATTTCACTGATTTTTCACAAGCATTTCCTAAGATTTCACTATGATGTAAATGAGGTTAGGAAAGTATATTAAGTAAAATACACAGCAGATTAACTGCACTAGCCTCCTAAACTGGTCTCTCTGCTTCAATCCTTGCCTCCGCAGCCTTAGGTCAAAACAGCAGCCAGGAGAGCTGATTAAAACACAACCAGACCATGTCACTGCTCTGCTCAAAATCTTTTAATGGTTTCTCATCGCCCAGTAAAAGTCCAAGTCCTTATAAGAGCTTATACCATCCTACTGCTCTGTCCCCCTCCTAGCCTCCTGCCTCATCACCCCCTCCCTCACTCCACCCCATGCTCTTTCTCAAACAAGCCAGGATACTCCCCAGATATCTGTGCACATGTTCCTTTACCTCTTTCCTGTCTTGATTCAGTTGTCACCTTCTCAGCAGGGCCTTCCCTATTACCCTATTTAAAACTGCAACCCCCTAGCCCCTTCCCTGCTTTATGTTACTCTAGAGCACTCTCACCATCTAATATACTCTATATTGCATTTTACCTATTTATTCTGTTTACTGTCCACCTCTCTCCACTTGAATGTAAATTCCATGAGGACAGGGGTTTTGATTGTTTTGTTCACTGCTGTGTGTGCCCTGCCTCTAGAATAGTCCCTGGCACACAGTAGGTCCCTAATATATATTTGTTGAGTGAAGGAATGATTTAAGTGTTGGCTACTGCAGGTGTACTCCAAGGCTGAGCTAATGATTAGAGGCCCAGCAGTACCAGGTCTGGGACCTGCCAGAGCAAATGAGCTTCATCGATAACAAAATACATTCTGAACATTGCTGTGTACAAGGCTCCGTGCAGGTGAGGTGCTGGGCCTGGAACCAGCCTGAGCTGCGGCCGGCCCCCATCCTCAGGGGCTTCACATAAAAACAGACAGAGCAAGAGAGCATAAGCCACGACTCAAATTAGCACTGCCAGATACACACTACAAGAGCTCCAGCACAGGAGATACGAGGCTGGGGAAAGGGTACTACTAAGAACCTGAAAGAATTTTTTTCGATTTTAGACAATGGACTCTGAATCTATAAAGGAGCGCTTCCTCAGCGCTCCAAAGAAAATTATTCAGAATGAATAAGCTTGCCAGCTCCGTCGTGTAAATAACATCTATTTCCTTTCCTGAAAATCTGTAAGCTGGAAATCAGACTTTTCAGATCACTGAAAAATAAGGCACAACCTGTCCAGACAGAAAGATCAAGCTTTATGCTGTGAACAGGGTGAGGATTCCACGAGTGCTTTACCAACACTATACACGATATGATCATTACTGGGTGACTTGAATCAGAATGCTCTGACACAGAATTCTCACACGCAGTGATTCTGCTTGGAGAGAATTCTCACTTGCAGCACAAAAATCCTTCCCTCAGAATTTCTGTCTGTTAAACGAATGGAGAATCAGGCTATGGGGCACAAAACAAAATGATTAATCCTTTCCATATCCTTTTAAAAAAATGAATAATGCTCTGGAGGCTGGTATTCACCTATACAGAACATGTCATCAAAAACACTTGAATCCCCTTGGACTCTAAATCATAGGCCAGACACTAAGCAGAACAGAGAAAGACCATGACACATTCACAAGAAAATATTAATTTCCACAGAATCAAATTATTCAGATTTACCTTAAAATAACATTTATTGAGTGCCTATTACATGCCAGCCACACAACTGGGTATTTTCATAGTATCTTAATCAACCCTAATAACACATGAGGTAATGACTAATATCCCTCTTTCCCGGATGAGGGATTTGAGGATCCCAGAGAATAAGAGATTTGTCTAAATGGTAGTGGCAGAATTCAAATCCAGGATTCTTGACTCCAGGTTCTGTGCTCATTCTACTATACTACAGAAGCAGGGATAAAGCCTATAACAACTGTAATGAAAGCAACGAAAATTGATCTTAACGGTATTTTAGCAAAGGTTTCTCGTCTGAAAATCCAAGATATTATTTCCAGGACTTTGTAGGGCCTCACAGAAATTAATGAACATGGTCACTTAACTATTCAATCCCTTTATCTCATGAATAAGAATTTGCAAAAATGTTTAGCTCTTAGCATCTCTTTGTCCATGCAAAGAATTAACTTGCACACCTAATAACCATGACTTTTAATTGCACTTCCCCTCACATGCTATGTATTGAAAAATCAGAGGCTTTAAGCTGGTTCATAAAAACCCTTGCTCCTTATTTCAATAATCAAAACATTTTAGTGTCAGGGCTGCTGAATTATAGCAAGGTCCAAACATTTCGATGGCTGTGATCAGAAGATGACATTCTGTCAGGGTAGTTAACAAATTTAACAGTTTTTTCTTCTTTCAGATCCACATGCTGGAAGGTCCAGAAAGGAGGCTACATGAAAGCACTTGTGATTTTCTGTATCAATTAAGATTGTTATAAAAATAAACTTACTATCATGACCTAGTAAGGCCTACGGATGGAATCCGACACTGTTAAGAGTTGGCTGGAATTTCACTTCTGGTTAAACAAATGCGCCAGCACAGACTACACAAACAGAGATATGATTTCCACTCAGGCCCAGGGCACCAGAGAAAAAGGAAAAGAGGAGGATCCTGGGACATGCCTGTATGGGCACAATGGGGGTGGCCTAGGCTTGACACTTCTCAGCCCAGGGGCTGAAACACTGGGGGACTGCCCTGTGTTGTTCCTGGAGGAGGAAATGTCCACGAAGACTTCAGCTGGGCACTTACAATTTTTATATGGTGGTTTTCCTTTCTGGAGAAAAGTATCTGAATCAAGCTCCTGGGGCTCACCACATGAAAACCAGAGGAAAGTGCTTATCTAACCCCAAAGGCCACGTCTGCAAAATGGGCATGTAACTCATGCAACAGGTTCCAAAGGCCAGGGAACAACTGATCAAAATCCTTTCCAAACCAGCCTCCAGTGGAGCGGTACACTCAACACTGGGGTGCAACACTTGGTTAACAGGTGAGTATCTCTGGAGAACCCCACGGCCAAAAAGGCAGGATTATTCCACTTCCACAGGGAAGTGGGAGGGAAATGCCAGCCTAGGGTTACCCCTGCAACTGTCCTTAAAAAGGGGATTTAATAATTAATTCTGGACTCTTATCACTAGGAAAACAAACAAGGCCATCTCATCATTTGGCTGCAAGGAAATCAAATCACTCTCTTTGAGGCATCTGTTATTTAAATGAAGTAGGCTAGGATAAACCTTCCTTGAAAACACCCTAAGCCAACTGGCCCTTCTTGGGGGAAATACAGTTAAGCAGTCAACACCTGCTTCTCCACTTCTTTCCTCCCACAAATGGCGTGTTAAGGCAATTCCAGGATGTTATTTATTTACTAGAAACCTGACTTTACTTTGCACAAGGTTTTGGAGGAGTAAATCTGACCCTGAAGATCCCATCAACTTCCACAAGCTCTTTTTGATGGGGGAGGCCTCAAGAGGGGGAGCAGGCAACATCAAATATTCTGAGATTCAGAAGCAGCAGCTGGAGAAGAAGGTGCATGAGGTTGGGAGAGGAACAGGCTGCCCCTCTCCCCTTTGCAGCACACCCAGCTCCTGTTTCCAAACAGAACGTGGGGACTTCCAGCAGGCTCACCTGCTGGGTGTCCCCACCTGTGGAAGCTCATAGACGAAAGGAGACAGACATGGCTCCAACTCCAAAGAGGAGCATCCCGGAGCCCAAGCTGTAAAACAGACAACCGGACAGAAATTCAGAATCTGAATAGGAACAACTCATACCTCTGCGCTCAGATATCCACCTAGTCCAGTGATCTGTCAAGTCCAGTGATTTAAGTGAATCACTTAAATACACCCTTGTTTAAAAACGAGCAAATGTGACAAAAATGATTTTCAATAGAAAAATAATGGAAACAAGGAAGCTCAGGGAAGCTATCTCTGCAGACTAGCAGAATGGGAAAGCGAGAAATCTGACTTCTCTTGGCTCTCTTCCTCCTGCGGGCCATAATTGCACACTCCTGAATTCAGGCACGACTCCAGCAGATTTTCAGAGCCCGAGCGCAGGCAGTTGGCGCTCGCCGCAAGGGAAGGCACCTTTCCAGGCACTGCCCAGGGTGAGTGACAGCAATACGTCCACCCTCTCTCCCCCCGGGGGCCTGGCTCTCCCTGAGGCTAAGGTGCATCTTCCAGTCCATCCGAGAACCACAATCCACACTCAATCTCTGTCCGGGCAGCGTGGTTCAGGAAAAAAAGGGGTAGTGGGAGCAGACAGGATTAAAAAAAGAATTAAACCATGTTTACTTCTAAACGGCCAGAACCTAGAGCTACCTGCTTCCCTTTCCCCCTTTCAAGCCCGTTTGATCATTTTGGGTAAGGCAGCAACCTGCAGCTCCTGGAGCATCCAAATGGGACTCCCCGACCTTTGTTCTTCGCACGCAGAAATCAACACCCTTGGGGGGAAGCCCCCGCATGGGTTCTGAGGCCAAGGATGTGCCGAGGGACCCGGCCACCGGGTGCGCCAGCGCCTCGCCCACAATCGCACGCGCCCGCCACACACGCGGCCTGGGCGCTGGGAACGCGTGAGGGTGCGCGCGTCGCCCGCCCACCACGCAGCTCACCTAGCACCACGGCGGCCACCGTGGAGAGCAGCAGCCAGTTATTCTTCAGGAAGCGCCTGTAGTCGTATCCCTTCCTCGCTGGCTTCCCCATGGCGGGCGCCCGAGTTTGGAGCTGCCGCTGCGGCGGCCGCTATTGTGCGCGGAGCTCGGCTGTGCGCGCGGGGGTCAGGAGACCTGGAGACAGCCGGAGGCTCCGCGGCACGGTGGAGGCGGGATGCGGGCGCGCCACGGAGATGGTGTGCGCTTGCTGCGGCAGCACCCACTGTCACTACCGCTGCCGCTGTCACCGCCGCCGCCACCTGAGATCGCGTGCCGCGCTTGCCACCCGTGCTAGCTCGATGGCTGTGCGTGGCGGGCGCGCCCGGCTCCTCCTGCCGCCGCCGCGCTCTGCGGCGCCCGGGCCAACCAGCAAGAAAGGAGGGAGGAGCAGCGGGTCCAGAGAGGCGGGTGGGTGCGTGCGTGGTGCGCCCGGAGTCCCCTTGGAGCAGGCGTGGGAGGGCGCCCAGCGCTGCGGCTGGAGCTGGGGCAGCTACTCCGGGAACCCTGCGTCCCGCCCCGGCCTTCAGCTGCAGTCTCTAGGGTTTTTCTTTTTTTTTTTTTTTGGTTAGGCTACGTTTCCCGATTTAAGGTTTCCTCCACTCCGTAATCCAGAGGGGCGGAGCCACTGGCCCCTTTGGCTTGGACTTCATCCTGCACACCTCATCCCTTCCCCTTTCTCCATACCAGCCATTCCCAGTGCAGCACCGGAGAACGCGTGCCCTTTCCAGTGGGAAGAGTTGGGGGAAACTGAGTTCTGTCTTGAGTCCCCTTTGCACCTCATCGCAGCCTCGGATTTGCTAGCAGTCTAGAAAGCCTGAAGCCTCTAGGAGGGAAAGAAAGAATGCTGGGGGCCAGAACAGGACTTTGGTGAACTTTCACTCGAGGCCTCCAATAACCCACCCCTCCCCAACACACATAGGCATTATTAACTCTCCTCTTTTGAGTCGCGGGAGGTGAAGCTCCAGTAGGATTGTCTGTGGACACAGGGCTTGGAATGGGCCCTCTTAGAACTTTACTTTCGCTCCTTGCCACTGGCTCTGTGGCCGTTGAAGGCCCCAAAGCTGTGAGATCTGGCAAAGTAATTAGGACTGAGAACCCCACCCACCAAGCTGCTTTGAGGAGAAGGTGGGCGGACCCATCCATAAGGCCAAATGCATTGGAAAGGCAAACGCAGGAGAGTTGGAGAAACTAGGTAAGTGGTGCCAAAAATACTCTGCACTGCTAAGTGAATTTGTCAATTCTCTTCCATTCTTCTACCCAGTTTTTTCACCCTCGCTTAATACAAACTCTTTCCTTGCCTTTACCACATCGCCACCTCCGCAGCTCTAGACTTCCTTCTCATCAGCTTTCCTAACATTAAGTAAGCCCTGAATCTTTTTGCTATTGTGGAGTCTACTCTCAGATTGGGGAGGGCGGGGGATCTCCCCAACAAGATTTTCTGATTACTAAACATCAGAAAATTAGAGCTTCATTCCTTTGGCTTAAGGTTGATAAGTATCCTTGAAGAGATAATAAATTAAGCTTTATGAATCATGTACACTTTAGTATGAAGAGAGTTTAACATCTCCTTTCCAGAAAGTAAATTTTGAGATAAGAAAGGATAGAGGGATATTAAGTCATTGTGTGCCTGAGGAAGATCTGAAGAAATGTCAGAAGAAGGGAAACTATCAAGAAAGAGGGGACAAAGATATTCATCTCACAGTAAAAAAGCCAGAAATACTCGGATGTCCAACGTGAAGGAAATGGTAAATATATTATGGAAGTGTTATGCAACGGTACATTATGCAGCATATATAAAGAAGGTTGTGAAATTTCTAATAGAATGGGATAGCATGTTATAATATTATGAGGGAAAAAAGAAGATTAAAATTGTATATACAATTTGATCACAATTATGTAAAAGAAACATATAAAACAAAACCATGTACTTAGAAAAAAGTCTAGAAGGAGGTACACCAAAATTTTAACAATGGTCATCTTTGGGTGATAATATCATGTTTGAATCTTTTTGCTTTCTATCTTTCTGTATTTTCCAAAGTGTTTACCATATGCATACCCATGCCCATTACAGTTGCAGGTAGGGCTTTATTTAAGAAATAAACAGGCCCTGAAGAGAGAAAAAAGTAGAAGAACCTAAGATGAACTTTGTACATCACAACTTTTTGAGGTATAGTGAGACAATTAACCTGGCTTTTGGGGGCAAGATATTTAGGTTTAAATCCTAGCACCACTACTTACCACCTGGGTGACCTGGGGCAAGTTGCTTAAATTTTTTGTGTCTCAGTTTCTACGTCTGTAAAATGGGGGCATTAATAGTATTTATCTCATGGGGTGTTGTCAGAATTGAATACAATGTGTGTAAAAGACTTAGAACAGTGCCTGGCACACAACAAGTATCATCACTCATCATTTTACTTGAAGTCAGCCTGGGAAGACACCTTCTAACTCCCTCTCGCTTGTTGCCTGCCTATTGTGAACACACTCTGAACCACTTCAGACCCATAAAAACCCTTGCATATTGATCAATAAGTAATTGCCCTTTAGAATTGCAATGGACCCTAAATCTATTGCACTTTTATATGTAAAGCCCATATAGTGCATACTCATTTTATGATTATTTAAATTAAGCAAGTTTTAAATAGTGCAATATAGAAAGATGAATAAAGTCTAAATATATACACTCATTTTTAAATAATGACAATCTCCTAAATTAAAATAAAAGTCAAGAATCTCAAAAGTTCAAAGCAGAGCCAAGTGAATTATAAACTTATGTTTATGTTTATGTTGTTGCTACATGGCAATTCCACTTTAGCTGGTAATAAAAAATAATTAACAAGCAAGCACTTATAATGCACTTATCATGTGCCAGGCACCTTTCTAACCGCTTTACACATGTTAACTTCTTTGGTCCTCACAACAACTTAATGAGGTAGGGACTATTGTTACCTCATGGGGCTTTTGGAAGAATCAAATGAGATATTGTATATTATCATCATCTTCCTTTTATAGCTGAGGAATCTGAGGCAAAAAGAGGTTAAGTAACTTGCTTAAGTTCCCTCCGTTTGTAAGAGGAGGATTAAGGATTGAACTAGTGCTCAAGCGAAACGCACAAACTCTGTGCATTAAACCACCACCTCTTATATGAGGAACAAATACAGAATTGTTATGGGAAAATTACTCTTGAGTTACATGAATTTTACTTCATGCAAGAGCTTCAAGAATCCATCCATCCATATCCAGGAGCGTCTGTGATGTCCTAAAGTGCTGTGCTCAAGTAGAAACTGCATACATTTTATGGGGCAGTGGTTGAATTCTCAAATTCTCTCTCCATTGCTGCTACCGGCACCTAATTCTATGTAATTTCTCTGCGTAAGACAAGAAATGGTATAGGAAGCATCACTTTGGGGAGGGGGGGGTTGGAGACCCCTAGTGCTTAAGGTCTATTCTTTTTTGCTTTCTTGGCCTATGAAAGTTGTGGACACAAATGATCTCAAATTGGACAAGAGTTAAGAGGCCTTTCCCTTGTAAGTTCTACCTGAGGGGAACTTAACCACTTAGTTTCTGGAACAAAACTTCACTCTCCTGAGATAAGACCTTAAGGCCAGTAGAAAGAGTTGTTAGGATTTTTTCCCCTCCAATAGATGTTAACGTTTCTCTTTTCTCTTCCCCCTCAAATGCCTTCATCCTGCTGAAATAAACCTTTGGCCAATTCTTACTAGATTACATTTCAGTAACTCTGGTGTTTCCTTTATTGTTATTGTTTCTTTCTTTCTTTCTTTTTTTTTTTTTTTTATTGTTGACTCATGGACTGTCTTGTTAGTTATTAAAGAAAGCAGACTTTGACTTTGCCACACAAGGTTAACCTATTAGGTGACAGCCTGGCCTTATATATTAATTGGGATAGAAATGAAAAAAGGCATTCAGAAACAAAAAGTAAGGCATGAGCTTCTGAACGTCTCTAGAAATAGTATGCTGGTTGCGTTTTACCATCTTAAAACATATACTGTTGGTTGCTTTGTTAATGGGAAGAAGGAGGTCATGGGGTACGAGTCTCCTCCAGCTTCTATAGCTGTGTAGCCATTCATGACCGATGGATGGTAAGAAGGATGCTGTCAGCATATTCAGACACCCATTTTAGCAATCTCTTCTTTATCTTCCAATCTTGATCTCGATTTGATTTATTTCAGAATTATGAATTAAAGAGTAAAAGAACTGTAATTCTTTAAATCTTCACAATAATTCTCCAAGTAATGATTCGGCCTGAAGAGACTTATATATTAGCTAGCTGTCCTGTCCTAAAACTCTTGGACTCAACAGAACTTTACCCCATGGTCTTTATTGCTCACTCTGACAAACTGAAGAACAATTCCATTTCATTTCCATATGAAAAAAAAAAGTTATCTGCCTCATAGAAGCTGTGTGTCCTTGAACAAGTCATTTAACCTCTCTGAATCTCAATCTCCTCATCTGAAGATACCATTTAAAGTAATAAATAAAAATAGTCAATACATATTTGAAACATGAAAAAGTTTTCAATCTCACTAGTACTCAAAGAAATGAAATTTTAAATCAAAATTTGTTTACCAGCTGAACAATTTAAACAAAATATTTTAAAATTCACAATTATAAAATGTATAACTTTAACATTATAAATTGTAAACTGAGATAAGGTATGGAGAAATGGGCTGTGTCACACACTGCTGGTGGACCTAGAAAATGCTATGACTTTCTGAGGATAATTAGGCAGTTTGTAATATCTTCAATCAAAAGTGTTTGTGTTCTTTAACTCAACCATTCTACCTCTAGAAATTTATACCAAAAAAATACCAAAGGGCTGGTTCATCCAAGCTCAGTTGGAAACAGCTTAACTGTCTAGTAAAGTGGATTGGCTAAAGATTGGTTGTGTAAAAATGCACTTGACAATGGAACACCATTCAGGCATTTAAAAGCTATTCTATTTTAGCAGAATCTTGAATTACATGGGAAAATGGTAAACATACACACAACTATGTTCTGAAATGGCAAGAGTAAGTTATAAAACAGTGGGTAGGTTGTTTTAAACAATGAGGATGTAGTCATTTATTATTTGTATACCTAAAAATTTAAAACTTAAAATATGCATTTTATAATTCTGATTAAGTCTGTGTGTATGTGTGTTCATGTGCGTGCGTATAAGGGTAGTAATATGAAAGTTATTAATGTGCTTGTATCCTTTGCCTTTCTGAGTACATGTTCTTTCCCCTACTAGGCCAAGGTGTTCATTGTCTTGGGAGATTAGGATTTGTTACAGAAGGAATTTAAAGAAAAAAATGTATTAACATTCCACTTCTGCACAATATATAGGATTATGTAGCAGGAAAGACTATTATCGTGAGAAAGAAT